ACAGAGAGATGGACAGTGGGATGGATGGATGTGTGGATGGATGGATGTTTGGATAAATGAGTGGGTGAATGGGTGGGTGGATGGATGGATGGATGAACAGACAATTAGATTAGCAGATGAATGGACAGATGGATGGACCATAAATGACAGGCTTTATTGAGAGAGTCAGAGGAATATCAAACTTCAGAAATCAGGTGCATTTCCAGAATCTCTTTTCACTCATTATCCTGTGCTTTCTGCTCATGTTGGGTCAACCTTTTAAAAAGCGCCCTTTCTGGGGCACCTGGGTGGCTCAGTCAGTTGGGCATTCAGCTCTTGATTTCAGCTCAGGTCTTGATCTCCGGGTCATGAGATCAAGCCCCGCATCAGGCCCTGCCTCAGGCTCCACACTGGGCGTGGAGTCTGCTTGAGATTCTCGCTCCCTCTCCCTCCGCACCTCCCCCTGCTCATGCTCTCTCCCTCTATCTCTGTAGATAAATAAATACAATCTTTAAAAAAATAAAAAATAACAAGTGCCCTTTCCCCTATTGCATGGTTCCTATGTAGTCAGACATAAAGACAGGGGTGGCGGGGACGGATACCTGGTTATAGGAAATCACTGGGAAGTTCCTAGCCCTCCCACTGGGAGTTATCATGGCAAAACTTACTTTTCCTATAGCTGAACTTGGGTTTCCTTCCCAAGCTTCCCTTTCACGTGAGGACAGGAAGGCCATCCAGTGATGTTCAGGTACACTCTGTCACTTCAGCCCTCTCTCGGGCCACTTCTCCAAGTGCGCTCCCAGCTATCTCGTGGGGTTGATTGAACAATGTGGGGCTTATGCCTGGTCGTGCTGGTAGTTGGTAGCCATTGTCATCCATCATTTCTCAGTGGGGCCTGCGGTGACCTGTGCTGGCCCAGCTGGGAGCCAGCACCTCCTAGCCTGCTGCCATCTGCTGAGGTGGCCAGTCTCTGCTCCCATCCCAGGGTACGGAGAGCCCCTTGGCTCACGGCAGGTCCAGACGGGGAGGGACCTCGGGCTGTCCCAGGACTCTCTTGACCCCGACCCTGGTGCCACTGTCACACTTGTGAAGCTTGCTGCATTTCAGAGCCCCTTCAGGAAGAGATCTGTCACAGTAACAGTAGAAGAATCCTTGCATTGCTTACCATGAGCCAGGCCTCAGAACAACCCCATGAGACCGGCCTCCCACTATTGTGAATTTACAGATGACCAGACAGAGGCACCAAGGGGTTTAGCATCTTGCCCAGAGTTACAAGACTAATAATCAGCAGAGCAAGGACCGCACCCAGGGGCCAGGCACCAACATCTGTGCTCCGGTCCCCACCAATGTTCTTACAACAGCGTGCCAGTCAGGGCTTCTCGAACTGTGAGGTACATAGGAATCACCTGGGGTCTGGTTAAATGAGCTTCTGATTCAGCAGGGTGGGGTGCAGCCCAAGATTTTACATTTCTTTTTTATTTATTTATTTATTTGAGAAAGCGAGAATGAGAGAGAGAAAGAGAGTACATGAGAGGGGGGAGGGTTAGAGGGAGAAGCAGGCTCCTTGCTGAGCAGGGACCCTGATGCGGGACTCGATCCCGCGACTCCAGGATCATGACCTGAGCCGAAGGCAGTCGCTTAACCAACTGAGCCACCCAGGCGCCCCAAGATTTTACATTTCTAACAAGTGCCCAGATCATCACCGGCATGACGGCACGCCGCCGCCCTGCACCACCGCTGAGTGGCAAATGTGGAGCATGAGTCTGTATGCGCCAATCACCTGGGGAGCTATAAACCTTCTGATGAGGGAAAATCTGCCAGGCAAGTGCAGGTGAGCATTCAAGCTCAGGGGCGGCCACGGCCAGAGCTGAGTGACAGCCTGGCAGGTGGACGGACCTCCTCCCTCTCTGAGATTCCCATGTAACTGGTCCAGAGTGCAACCTAATCATTAGACAATTTTTACTTCCTGGGTGAGTTTAATGTACAACAAAGTTTCAGGACCTCACTTTTAAAAAGACATTTGACAGGGGCACCTGGGTGGCTCAGTCGGTTAAGCGTCTGCCTTCGGCTCAGGTCATGATCCCAGGGTCCTGGGATCGAGCCCCACATCGGGCTCCCTGTTGAGTGGGGAGTCTGCTTCTCCCTCTCCCTCTGCTCCTCCCCCCACTTGTGCTCTCTCTCTCTTTAATAAACAAATAAAATCTTTAAAAAAAGACTGTCAAACTCTATAAACATAATAATAAAGAAATAAAAAGACATTTAACAAATCAAGCCAACGCTAGACACAGTGGGTGCACAAGGAGGCTGAAGCCAACCCATCCTTGGGCCTTGGGAATCTCATTCCTCATGGAAACACCCAGCATTTTTCAAGAACTACGTCTTCACTTCATTTTCTCACTTGATGTTCACCTCAGCCCTGTGCTATGGATATTATTACTATTATTGCCATCCTCTTTCTAGAGGAGGACATAGAGGCTGAGCCAAGTTAAGGTCATGCTCTACAAACTTCTGTCATTCCCTGAGCCTTCGCTTTCCCCTTCGCTGACCTTTCTCTTAAAGCCCTGCTGCCACCACAAACAATACTACCACCGGCACTCTGGGAAGGTTCTGGGGGAAACATCCCCTTCCTGCTGCTTTCCCCGCAGTCTGCACAGTTGGTGGGGGCAGTGGAGGGAGACCGTCACTCCCTTCTGGGGTCACCAGTCCCTCTTCCACTTGGCCTAGTAGCCCGGTGGAGGCAGGGGTAAGAACAGAAATCCCTGGGGCCCCTGGGTGGCTCAGAGAGTTAAGCATCTGACTCTTGATTTTGGCTCAGGTCAGGATCTCAGAGTCCTGGGATTGAGCCCCATGCCTGGTCCATGCTCAGAGGGGAGCCTGCTTCTCCCTCTCCCTCTGCCCTTCTCCCTGCTCTCTCTCTCTCCTTCTCTCTCTCAAATAAATAAATAAATCTTTAAAAATTTTTTTTAAAAAGACTAGACATCCCTACCGTTGCCCTAGGTCAGGAGCTCAGCTCCAGGTAGAAAGGAGTGGAGGGCAGGAGGGCGGGGTGAGCAGCCAGATGGTTTTTTTGTTGTTGGGCTGGTAAATCCTCTGCAAGCCGGGCCTCTATCTCCTGTTGAATCAGGCAGGACCGGGAGAGAGCATGGGACCTGAGCCCGTCCCACGGGCCGCATTCCGAGGATGACAACCCCCTCCACGCGGTGTTTGTAGTCAGCAGTCACTCCCCCAAGGGAAACCAGGCTTCGTGCAGATCCAGCAGCAAGAGCGTCCATTTCCTTTGAATCCTCCAGTCCCGAGAATCCATCCTTTACAAAGGCATCTAGAAAAGAGAAAAAGCTAAATGCAAGAAGACGATTCATGAAAAAGCCTAGGCCACCTCTGGGTCCAACTGAAGAGCGCAGCTGTATCTTTCAATGTTGGACAAACCTCACTACTTGTGCTCAAGAAGACGAACCCAAAAACTGCCCGAGACGGAACACCGCGCCAGAAAAAAGGCAGAACACAAAATTGCTTTTGCCCTGGTGTGCCGACCACTGACAAAATGCAGACACAAAAAGACTGGAGATAATAATTCAAAATAAACAACAATGTGCATGAGTCACCCGGGGGCCTAGTCAAAATGCAGGGTTATATTTAATTACTTCAGTAACTCGATTTTCTGATAGGCAGTTTGATAATGAAAAATAAACTATGTGACATCGAAACTCAAGAAATACTTATGCCAAATGAAAATAGCAGAATACAAAATGCTATATAATTAATATTTATTGTTTTAAGTAAAACTTTTTCTTTTTTTTTTTTTTTTTTTTGCATTTCATGAGCACCTTCCCTGAGCATTAAGGAATGAGCCCCCTGGTGGTACCATCCACCAAGTAAGCCAATTATCTAGCACCCCTGTCCTGAGCATATGATGCTGCCCATGAGGTCCAGAGGCAGCCAGCCAGAGGGACAGGGGAACTCATCTGTCAGGAGTGAGGGCACTTTCCAGAAGAAGGTGATACCCGCCAGATTTTGAAAAGAACAGGAGCTCCCTGGACAGACCACGGGAAGAATTCCCACAATTCTTGAAAGGGGAGGGGGGCAATGAGACCACAGCTCTTTCAGGGAGAGCCAAAGAGGTAGGGAGGGGAGAAGGCCCAGATCAGGAAAGATCCTATGTTCTACTAAAGAACTTGGCCTTGACCCTGAAGGTGGTGGGAAAGCCTGGCAGCATTTTGAGCAGGATAAGGATGTGATCCCCCGCGGTTTAAAGTGGCTTCTGGTGTCAGTGCTGAGGACTGGCCAGCCAGGGGAGGGACAGCTCCTGAGAGGTTACTGCAGCAGCCCAGGCGGGGGCTGTTACCTGCCTGAATCTACAGGGAATGGACAGGGGTAGGCTGGCCGGAGAGTCATTGGGTTAGTTAGGACCTGGGGACTGATTAACTGGAGGTGATCCTAAGGAAGGAAGAAGCTAAGATCCTAAAGAGCCACAGGAGTAGGGACCACCAACCCAGAGATGGCAGCAGGAAATGAAGGGACTTTTGGGGAGGGTAGGAAGTGGGGAGTGAGTTCTGGGTCTACAAACCCTCACCTGGAGCTCATGGGGCCAGATGTGTTTCAGAATTCAATATTTTCTGAGTTTAAGAAAGTAATACATAATTTAGTGTATATATGCACCATCATTCCCTTGGTGGGTCTGGGATAACAGCCCATGATCAAACACATTGACATTCCTGCAGCCAACACATGACTATTCATGCACACGAAGTGGTTATGTAAAGACAATAAAAAAAGCTCCTGTCAGGGCCCGACCAAGGCTTGCCACCAAATGAGTTTGAGAAATCCTTTCAGTTTGGGGATCTACGGATTGAGGAGGAAAGAAGTTGCATCGGTATCTATGGTAGGTAGTGACCCAAGAGGGCCCTTCAGGAGAGAGGCGAACTGAGGACAGAGCCCCAGGAACAACCACGTGGGGATGGAAACAGGAGAGGAGACAGCAAAGGAGGCTGAGAGGGAGCAGCCAAATTTGTAGGAGACAAGTAGAAAGGGGGGACACCCTGGGGGGGGGAAGAGAACCGTGAGCAGGGACAGTGCCACAGAAAGACCAAGTCAGAGAAGCCCCAGATGTCCCCTACATATGGCAAAGGTAGGTCACAGGAACCCGGGACCAGTGGGACATCAGTGGCAAGATGGCGGCGGCTGAGTGGGAGCAGAGGGCGGGGAAGCAGGAGTGGCATGGGAGAGGCTCCCCTTGCAGGAGTCTTGGCCACAGAAGGAATGAGATTGGGCGCTATAGCCAGACTGATGGGCAAGAAAATATGGTGGGGCGGGGCGCCTGGGTGGCTCAGTCCTTAAGCATCTGCCTTCGGCTCAGGTTATGATCCCAGGGTCCTGGGATCGAGCCCCGCATCGGGCTCCCTGCTCCGCGGGAAGCCTGCGTCTCCCTCTCCCACTCCCCCTGCTTGTGTTCCCTCTCTCGCTGTGTCTCTCTCTGTCAAATAAATAAAATCTTTAAAAAAAAGAAAAGAAAGCATGGTGGGGCTACCAGATCGGGGTGTCAATGAGCAACAAAGAGGGCGAAGGAAGCAAAGTGGGTTATAGAGACAATGTGTGTCCACCAAAAGAATGGATAAATAAATGGTGATCTGTCCATCCGATGGAATTGGCAGTGAAAAATAAACTATGCCATCCACAATAACATGGCCGAATCTTACAGACCTATGAAGTGTAAGAATCCATGCCCTTTACTGTATGTGCATTATATCTCAATAAAAAAAATATTAAGGATGATGGAATTTAAGGTTGCAGATGTGGAGCGGTCTGGGAGATGTCAAGGCCAAGTGTCGCCTTGCAGTGTGGAGCTGAAGCGGGTCCAAGGGAGCCTGATGGAGTTTGGGACGGGAGGGAACTCTGTGCTCCACGGACAGAGAAATCACGCAAGAGTTTCCCTAGGTGATTCTGAGACAGCTCCAACTGTTCTTGCAAGTGGATCACGCTGCTGTAGTTAACTCATGGGCTCTGCTCCGGTGAGGCTGCCGGTCCCAGCTGTCCCTTCCCTGAGCAGACGCAGGTCTGACCCCCAGCTGCAGCGCAGCTCCAGCCGGGCAGGACAGGGGGACACCACGCCCGCCACGACTCACTCACAAGGGCCACACCTGGATAAAGAAGTTAGCGAAACC